GAAAGGGAGAGCGGACTCTCCCCACTCTCGGCCGTACCAGGGCGTTTGGGGGCTTTGATAGAACTAGATCTCAATGTTGTTTAGCAGCATAATTTAGTTTTACTGTGTCATATTTGATGTTCACTTTCTTATAACTTGATCAATTGGAAATTTATTTTTTTATTCGGAAGGAAAACAGGTACAGAACGAAATTGATCATCACAATCGGGGTTTTGAAGAGATTATTGTAATTTAATAGTTTAATAGATCACTGAGCCGTCATCCGACGGTATTAATGTCTAACTTCAACTAATCCACGAAATCGAGTGACACATGCACCATTGTCTTCAGTGAATTACTATCTCACAACAGACCTGGTTGAACTCAACTGGTCACGGCTTCTCACTAGAACTCAAGGAAATAAATATTGAAGCCAATCACTAATGAGCACATGATGATTATTATCTATTGATTATTCGTTCGCTCACGAGACCGAAGGTCCTGTGTTTGATTTTCGTGTGCGGGATCGTGGATGCGCACTACTCAGGAGTTATATTGGCACATGTCCTAGGAATTTGTATATTCGGGATCGTGAGCACCTCCCAGTGTGGTTAAGCAAGGGTGTAGTCAAAACGGTTAACAACTCCATTTTAGGCCATTTAATTCAGACGAGAAATACAGCCAACATGAAGCAACTTTTCGCAATAATATATTGTGTTAACGGCAGTCTAACTAATTTTGTTGGACTGAGAATCCTACAGACGGCTGAAGCAATTGCTATTTGGATAAAAAAGCCAGAGCTTTCCATCCAAAAGAAATATGTTCAGCCGCTCCTTTTACCCTGGCCAGCTTCGCGGCCAACTAGTTAATAAACAATTTTACAATATGGTGACGTAATTTGATTGATGTTCATTTTTATATCCTAAACTTGTCCACACATCTTACCATGGTCATTATTATTATTATCACTACACTTGATAACCTTTTTGAGAAATTTATTTAGCATGCACCTTTATCTACTCATTCATATTATTCTACATATTATGTAACTTCTGATTTGTAATTACATTATTCTCTCTCTCACCCCATGTTGACCATATTTATTCTGATCATTCATCTTACAACTTCATTTCACTTATAAACTGATTCAAGTTAACACTTCATATTAGTCAGCCCCAACATTAATCATTTGCCTTTATATGACCAGTGGAGTTCAACCAGGTCTGTTGTGAGATATCAGCTCACTGAAGACAATGGTGACGGTGGCGCAACTTCGTGGATTGGTTGAAGTTAGACATTAACACAGTGGTCTAGTTGGTTGAGTGCCTGGCGCGAGACTGACAGGTCCTGGGTTCGAATCCCGCGTGGGGCGGGATCGTGGATGCGCACTGCTGAGGAGTCCCATACTAGGACGAAACGGCCGTCCAGTGCTTCCAGGTTTTCCATGGTGGTCTAGTTTCAATTGATTCATAATTTCAACTATTTTAATTCATATGTTATAATTTTAAATGATGTACTCTGCCTTAGACCTGACCAATTTTATGGATTATTCATTCGGATATAAGATAATTGTAGAACTTGATAAGAACTTATTGAAAAGAATACTCTTCGCTCATGTAATTGTGCTTAAATATATACTTGTTTTCTTTTTTTTTGTTGTTGTTGAAAAACCACATAATCTGATTGTTTTTAATATCTTGTTATTGCTACATAAGGGATTTCTTTAAAGTTTATAAATCTTAATGTTACACATTTCTATCGCCTAATTGATACAGTATTATCACTAATAACAAACAAAGACAATTGTTTATTTTATCAGTCAGTCAGTAATGACGTAGAACTTCGTACGTATGTACATCAGTTCGAGTTACCATACCACATTAGCACACAAATGCAATTGTCGATTCAAATCCCATAGTGGTAGAGGTAGTAAAATTATAAGCAGTAATCGGAAAAATTAGGGTTTGAAGATGTTATTCAAGAAGTATAATTCAGTGAAATAAATTTGGAAGGAGAAAAAAAGGGACATGAAGAATTCAGAAGATTAGAATTTGGAAGAGCGCAAAGAGTGGATGCACCTGCGCCATTGCAAACGATTTTGAGCCATGTCATTCAAGGTCTCTAACCATCGGTTGCTATCGTCTCGTGGATCCCAACCAGGTAATTTACACCTGCCAACGTGGCTCAGTCCACTTGTCAGTGACTTCATGGATTTGTGCCATGTTTTGGTCTGGCCGCCCCTAGCTTTCTTCCAACCTACTCCTACACCACAAAACATCGCACGTCGGAGCAGTATGTGGTCGGGCATACGTAATATATGTCCCAGCCATCTCAACTGATGAAGTTTTACTACTTCATCAATTGATTTACCATCCTTACCTAGTACCCGTTTCCTAACAACTGCATTACTTACTCGGTGGTCCCAGGATATACTAGCAATGCTTGGAAGACACCTATGATCGAATACTAGTAACCTACGAATATCCTCTACTCTTACCGGCCATGTTTCACTGTCATAAAATAGGACAGAACAAACTGCTGCGCAGTAAACCCGTCCTTTGGTTGATAGACGAATATCTCACCTACACCATAAATGACTCAAGTTGGCAAAAGCTAGTCGAGCCTTCTGTATCCGTGCTGAGATTTCGTCACACACCAGATCACAAGAGCTGATAAGATTCTCAAGATAAGTGAAGCGGTCGAACGTTCAACTACTTCACTACCCATCATTAGTTCGGGTGTCAATGCAACATTGAAATTAATTATATTTTATTATTAATTATGTTTATTGGCATTTGATGGTAGTTGGTTATGGTTAAATAATTTCCTAATCGTTTATTTTCTCATTTATTGATAAACATTATCATCACCTTGGAGACCACTGATTGCATAATTCTATGCAATAGTTTAAATATTTTATGTATTTAAAAAATATATTATTCGACTTCTTATTGATATCCTTTCAGAAGTTATTTTATATAATGAATAATGTACTGTTGAAATAAGATAAATAAAAAATACAAACAAACTAGAAATGCGTCACGCTAAATATCACAAGTTTGTATGGTAAAAGTATAATATAGGGATGAGCTTGACAATTAGTTCTTAAAATAACCACATGATTTTGAAGACATTTTTTTCAACTAATTAACAAAGAGTGTCTGTACAAATCAAAAGTATTTCGAAATGGATATAATAAAAAAAACTGTTACAGTTCAATGATTTTAAGAAATTTATTGACTTTTTAAGGTTATTATCGGTTTTCCTATCCTACTGTTGTGATAATATGATTACATAAACTCATTAATTTAAGTGTAAATGTTTTTTCTCTAAAAGTTATCTTTTCTTATATCTCATAGCCACAATTAGTTTTATGGAAAGTTTGTCATCATTGTTGGAGAACCATCATTGTCTCCATATTGATATGCAGAATTCATTTATGAAAATCGTTATCTAGTTTATAATTCCTACTTGGTCAGCTCATGCATTAATTATTAGTTTATTAATGGAATTTATTCTGATAGTTTATTATAGAAAAGAAGACTGGAACAAGACTTGATTGGCTTACATGTTATGTAAAGTCCGTATATAAAAACGTGATCATTTCATGATTTTAAAGTTTCCTTTTTCATACTAAAATGAAAAAGGACTTTCCTTATTAATTTTAAACCTTTTGAACACTACACAAAGCCGTTTCCGGACCCAGGAATCGAACTCAGTACCTTCGGTCGCACCTGATCGCCTGAATTCTAGACTACTTATTGAGCTGGTATTCAATGATGTGCATGTCTAACTTTAATCAATCTACGATTATGAGAAACCATTTTTCATTGAATGGGATAAATTAGAGTCTCTCATCCGACATGGTTGTACCTGACTGGTCATGACTTCCAGGTTTTCAAAGGTGGTTTAACTAAGACCAGTTTTACTAAGTTCTATGATCTCAACGAAACCCTATTCTGATAAAATTATTTCTATTGTGCATTTTTGTGTGATGAATTTCTCATTGAACAGTGCAAGTAGTTTTCTCGGTTTTGACTGGCTTGTTTCCATACAAGGCTTTTACTATCCAAGTTAGCTGAAGAGATTTGACACCAGTAGATCGCAGTCTTGAATGCAGCAGAAATAAATGACACGTAATGATAAAATATCAATAGTAACAATGGTAATCGTTTTTGTCCAGTACTCCATTTGTTTGACTGCAGTAAATAAATTCTCGGCACACAATATGAAATATTGGGAAATACTTTTTTACGCTGCGTACAAATTGCTCATGTATGAATTCCATTACTGTCGAAGACTCTTGTTTCTTCAAAAAAGAATGAATCATAATGAAAATACACCAACGATTGTGATGTTTTCACTCAAATTTTATTTTCCTTCAGACTTTCCATAGACTGTTAGGCCTTTTATAAAAACTCATGAGTATTGGTGGGGTATATACTACTTATGCTGACCCATATAAGTAGTATGTAGCCGCAAACGGAAGTGGAATGCCTAGCAGCAGTAGATTAAACTGAAGAGAATCGAAAGGAAATCGAAGAACAATCTAAATAACGATAGAATTAGAGGGATAATAGAGTAGGTAAAGGATAACGCAAAGAAGATATGCAAATGATGTATTTAATGTATGATTTTTATATTTTACTAAGCTATTGTGTAATTTTGCACTAAGCAATAAATTGGTTTTCCCCACCAGAGTTTTTCGTTCACTACATTAGTACCATTATGTGGTTAACATGCATAAATAATTTGTCTAAAAAATTTGAAAACGAGAGAAATAGTTCACTGCACAGCTATAAAATAAACGCTTTAATGGTTTAAATGGGATATTAGTTTATCAGATTCGGATCGATTTACTCTTCAATAGTAAATCATAAATATATTTTTATTGCGTATCTCATATGAAGTTTAAAAAAAATCCACCCCAGTGTTTTTTTCCACAATTGTACAATAAAATAAAAGTCTATACACCATTCTCTTGATAATTATTTATCTACCAAAATATTAATTGATTTTAGGAAGAGCTCATATGGCATTTGTTGAACGTTTAGTAACAGAAGGTGACTGTGATCCATATCGTGAAATGATTGGTCTAGTTACACTCGAAGATGTAATTGAAGAAATTATTCAAGCTGAAATAGTTGATGAAACAGATATTTTAAGTAAGTTTTATCATTATATTTAATATGAATACTCTGTTTTCTTAAATTATTTATGATTTCATTGTTTTATCAACTATTCTTTTTTTTTTGTATTATTTCTCGTCAGTTGTTTTCCTTTTCAGTAAGTATGATTTGTGTCTAGTGAATGAGGTGTTTTTCAATGGAGTAGTTTAGAATAATGATTACACTCTATCGTAAACTGACCATAATTTAAAAGCAATGACTATTACATTTTAACTTGTTACTTTTTCACCTGCCTGCCACTGTACTTCATTCGATTTTGCTCAGAAAGGAACAAGAACTAAATGAATAACAAGATATAGTCCAAATATGAGTATATACTGTTAAATTAGTCTTACATATGATGTAATATGTGTATCTTGCATTAATCTGATTATCCAAATAAAAAAATCAATATGATAGACATAATTTATCAGAAGTATGTTATGCCTTTTTAATTAAGATCATGAACCGATTAATTGAAAACCTGGAAGCATTGGTGGTCTAACATTGATCAATTCACGGTCTTGATTAAAACTCAAGAATCTACTGATAATTATGTCTTTTTATTGTTTTTTTTTTCTACCACTTTAGTAAATACATATACTCAAAGATGACTAGAAACATGTTTATTTTTTTCCGAAAATTTGTTTCCTAATCAACCATAACAAATTATTGTGACACATGAAATTCATATGGTTTTTAACCTTGGGACTTTGTAAATAAATAAAATAAAATCATAGGATGGTATGCGATAAATGCAATAAGTTGTTTACCAGTTTGGTAAGAGTAAGACACAATGTCGCGATAAAAAAATGCGTTATAGTAGTTATCTTGTTGTTTTTTGATGATAGTTAGAACTTTGTACATTTTAAATGATTCAGACACGTAAGTGTAGATAATTCATCAGACCCGGTCTGATATACAAAGTGGCTTAATGATTTTTGATGATGTTACTGACATTCATCTTTTATTTTAAAAAATGGCATTCAGTTGAAAAGGTTTCGTGAAGATTGGTCAAGCATGTAGATCATATACATCACAGACTACTGAAAATCAAAGAGCACTGGAGAGCTTCCTCATCCTACTATGAGATTCTTTAGCAGTGCTCACCGACGATTCCTCTATGAATCAAACTCGGGAACACCTGGTTAGTAGATCCATTGTACCGGAGTCCATTGTTACAGTCTTAGTACAATGATCATCCAATGTCACTGATGATAACTATTTCACCTACGACATGTCTGATCTCTACCAGTTATGACTTCCTATCAAAACTTCAGGAAGATATTAAAGTGATTCGCTGTCGATCTGATTATTAGAGCTTAGTTGAAGCGCTTTTGTGGAATGCAGACTTCTGAGAAGTCCCATACTGGGACGAAACAGCTATCTAGTGCTATTTATTTGCAATGATACTCCAACTGAGACCAATGTTTAACAGTTACGACCAAGAAACTAACGTTTACGTATGCGGTTATCAACGTTAACAAGGTCATTTTATCAAATGAAATGCATGCAGCTATATACAGTTTTTTTATTAATCCATTGAATAATGAGTAAAATGACTCTAGATTTGTGTTGGTGAGTTCACATTTGAATTTCAGTCAATAAAAGCCCACACATAAAAATGTTTATGTACAACGATAGGCTGAAGTTCAAAAAACCCATGTCCACAGATCATAAAACGTAGCTTTTCTTCTCTTAGTAGAATTTAACCAATGTTGCATATTGAGAGCGCATATTTTGGCTGTTATCGACTTCAAGGGAGATTTATCGATTTCATCCGGAGGTCGTGATCAACTACCAAAATATCAAATGACAGTGAAGTGATAATAGTTCAATCAGTAATTTACACACTTTAAAGTCTTCAAAATGTGAAAATTCATTCTTAAGAGTTGAAATCTAACGCCATTTGCTCTTGAACTAGATTTAATTGAGCCCGTTATGTGTCTGATTTCATTAAATCATCATCGGTAAGCTTCTCAATTTACTGAGACATTAGTTTTAGTCTAATTTCAAACGCTTCAACTTCTGCGTATAATTCATCTGTAAGAAATTTCGTAGTTGGTAATTTATTATTGGTTTCATTTAGTTTGTCATTTGTTCTGATACGTTTCTAAGGTTTCTAAAATGAATATTATCATACTAAAGTATATCAAAATACTGTGATTTAACATCATCATTAGCTACACAACTTGTATACTGAAATATTTCTCAATATTTTGACATAAATTAAAATGTTTTCCTTAAATTAATTTTCATTCATTTCACTACTAACCACTTCTGCATAGAAGCAAAGATGGATAGTGGCTAAAAGTGGAAACCAGGGTGCGCGTTTTGTCCGATTTGGACTCGTCAGTTGGGTTTACCTGCATCTCAGTGTCGATGTTCACTCTGGGACTCAAACTCAGTACTGTTCGCTTTAAACGCCGTCGCGTTATCCACTTAGCTACTCAATCCTAATAACCACTTGTTCGTCCAATATCGAGGCAATACTCACAGTATGCACTTATGCTAATAATAGACTGATCAATTGAAGTCCTAAACATCAATGTGACGATTCAAGTAAACTATATCACTTACATATATTTCTAAATCATCTCATGAATGTAGAATCTACTTGATTGATTATAAAATAGATGATACTTCATAATATCTATCTATCAATATACTTTCATTAAGTTAATAAATACCCACTAAGTTACAAGAATATATTTGATTAATAACTTCAAAATGGAGCTCAACATATTCTCTAATGTCCACGGTTAATTGCTAACAATATTTCTTTTTCCCTTTAAAAAAACACGAAGTTAATAAAATAAGATAAAAAAGATTCGAACTAGAAATCATGTATGCATAATACTAAACAAGATTAAACACAGTGGATAACATGGTTCGAGAAATATGAATGAAATTTGATGAGCGGTGTAAAATAATTTCACATAGAAATAATAACAACGGTAAGATTTGGTATCAAAACATGAATAAGGAATTGAAATTGTTAAGAGATAAAAACAAGTAATATATTTAGATAGGAAAGAATAATTGAATAGTGATTTATTTGAATTTAGATTCTTTCATATGGCTGAGGGTAGGGAGAGCTAGCTCTTTCTTTCTCTATCTCTCTCTTGAAATAATCTCATATGATCACACGTTCATAACCACTGCTAGGAAAGTTCAACTCACTGCATTTCTCTCAGCAAACGTGTCGTTTATAAGAATGAAAGGATGAAAATCTAATATACACCAATAAGACCTGATTGATTAGTACGACGGATTCACTTAAGAAAGTTATAAAGTATGATCCAAATAAACCCCAGGAACCTTAAAGATTGAATGTCATTTAAGCTTATTTTGTTCACTGATTGCCATGGAACTGAATCTCATAACATTATTTTACTGTTTTATGGATAGAAATTTTAATTAAAGGTTCGAGGAGTGGTCTTTAAAAAATTTACCTGTTACGGTTTGTGCGTTTTAGTAAATATCTCATCCCACTCACAATTATTGTGATTTTGCACAAAGCACTCTATTCTTTGTGTTTGATTACCTATTAAAGCGATAATTTGGATTAACGTTGCAATAAACCTTTAATTATTCACTATACATGAAATATATTCTTGAGATATCGAAAATATGTCCTGGTGTTATACCACATTTACTAAAATATTATTAATATAATTGTAATACTATTATTATTGTTATTATTATTATTATCATCATCATTCACAACTAACGTTGGAACAATAAGTTTGTTTATTGAAACGTTTCAATTATGATTTTCAGCTTAACTAGTCAATATTTTGTTAAATAATAACTAATGAAATGAGCAAGCAACTACTGTTAATTAAAATTAAAGGTGTATGTATTTTGAATGTTGATAGTCACTGGGTGGTTATTGGGGCTCAGATACACATAGTGTATATAACACTCTAAACGATTGGCAATATGTTCAAATTTTTATGTATGCATAAATAAATTCAGCTAATGACTTCCGAATGAGTTGGAACGCCTATCTTAATTCTACTACCATTCTATCATGATAAATTTAACAAATGATTACTAGTTTCGTCTGCTGTTACACCAGATTAGCAATAATTTTTCAGGCTTCCACAAAGCTTATTCATTCTAAAAACACATTAACTGTATTCTTTAACCTTCATTGTAAAATAATATTGAATGTCATATTTGGAAATTTTCTATTCAATATTACTATTGTTTAAATCACGAGCTAGTTTTAGATAGACCACCATTAAAAAACTGGAAGCATTGAAATGTTGTATTGTCTTAGTATGGGACTCCTCAGTTCATTGGCTTAGAAGTTAAGCTTTCATGAACGAGAAGGAAAGTTCTCACTTCGATCCACTGTGGAAATCGTGGATGCGCATTATTGAAGAGTCGCATTCTGTGAAGAAACGGCCATCCAATGTTTCCAGGTTTTCAATGGTGATTTAGCTAAGACCGATTTGTGATTTCAACAATGGTAATATTAAATAGAAAGTCCCCGAAAAATACACTTCAAGCTAACTTTACTATACTTCCAATTACCCAACTGAGAAAGTGAGTGTAAAACAGTGCACCATAAGCTATAAGGAAACATGTAATTACCCTCTCATCCTCACTATTTCAATGGTGATTATGTCTAACTTCAATCAGTTTACAGTATTGTGCGACCATCTTCTATTGTCTCCTTTAGATAACTATCCCACGCCCGACACATTTGGTCTAGAACTAAAATTGATCGGTTCATGATTTCAATAAAGGTCAATAGTCTCTACAACCCTGAATTGACATTTTTAATAATCGTTAAAATTTTCACTTTAATTATTTACAAGAATTTAAAATGTTCAAAATGATTTCCCATCAGTGAGGTTTTTAGTAATTACTTTGTAAGTAGAAAGTGACTGAGATTAACAAATTTCAACTAATTTATTTATCCTAATGTTTATCATTTATCAATGATGTGGTCCATTACTTTGTGATTTTTCTTCGTTTTCCTTCACACTATCCTTAATGTTAGTTACAAATGTTTGTGTAGTTCCATCACTGTTAAAGAATATTTGTCACTGTTCTTTGTTAAACACGTAAGCTAAGTTTCAAACGTTTTATGTCTATGATTTCAACGAATTCTAAAAAAAACTAATAAAAAACCTAACCCTAGTATTCTGAAATTTACTGAAACCATAGCTATAAAACTTGGGAAGCTAAACACATACATTCAAAATCAAACACTGATAAATCTTTCTTTAAGCGTTCGTTGAGTGTTCACGGGCAAAATCGAAGGTTCTTGGTTCACGTCCCGCATGCGTGATCGTGGATATGCATTATTAAGAAGTCCCATACTTACGAAAAGGCCGTCTAGTGCATCCAGGTTTTCAATGATGGTCTAGTTTAAATCGACTCATGAATTCAACTATTAAAATTTTTTTTATCTCTGGAGCGAATATTTCGTGCATTTGGTTCCCTTTTATAAATTTAAATAAAACCAGAACAACAATTGAGAGAGAATAATGCTAATTCATTATATTTTGTGGTTTTTCATCAGCTGCTTACATCCATATATGTATTAAAGTGTAACATTGAGGTATGACATAATGTGAACCGATCGATATTGCTGTCAGAAAGATTATCAATAATAACTATGTTTATATATATCTGTACATGAATAGGTTTGAGGTCATTTGTAAGTGGGTTGCAGTATTATAGGGAGACGAGCTGATACCGTAATTAAATCAAGTTCGAAAGCAGATAAGGTAGATCATTTGGTAATTATAGTTGTAAAGAGTTTACATAACATTCAGAACACCTTAGAAGAGATATAGATTCAGAATAATGAGATAGTAATTGTTTAGAAATAGAAATTTTACGGTTACATAATAATTAAAAAATGATTTGAACTATTCACGTAAGTCTCAAGAATTAAGTGAGTAAAAAAATTGATAAATAAAAGGGTGATTTTAGTGTAAACGAATTGCCATGATTTCAATCAAACTCAACAATTTCCACAACCCTATACATATAAGAATTAGTTTAGCGAAGACTTCACATTGATAAAATAATAATCACAAACATAATATTTGCAGAGAATATTTCTCAAGGTTATAAATTTACCAAGTTAGTGATACAGTTGATTTCTGTCTCTTTCTGGACACATAAATCAGATGTAAGTTTTTTAATTGCTCCCAAATTGGGGAGAAACAAGTAGTGTGTTTAGGTGTAAATAATCTATAATTAAACATCTGAAACTTCTTTTTCTCATTTTTTTCTCTCTCTCAAACTTAAGCTGACAATGTACATCATCAAGTGAGACAAGTGCGTAAAAGAGATTTTCGAATGTTCGGTTTACACGATTCTCAGGGTAAATCAAGATTATCACCACAATTGAAAATTGCAGCTTTACGGCATTTAGCCTCAGGTGAGTTTCCATTCCATTTGCTTTATTCATATTTTATAAACTCTTTGTTAAAGTATCTGAAATATCCTTATGATTTGAACAGATTCATATTTCAACAAGGAATGAGTTGAACCTAAGGAATATTCTCAGGTTGGTTAATACTTCGGTTTCGATTTAAGGATTTTGTCGAGATAAGATTAATTTGTAGGTAATATCACAGATCAACTTAATTCGGATTATCGTTGGAAACCAGAGAGCAATAGACAACTGTTTTAACCTAATAATATTTAAATGCTCGTCATGACACCTGGCAGTTCTATACTGAATTTTCGATGCGGTCTTGTGTGCAGAACACTAAAGAAATAGCTTTATAACATGACAAAATAGTCGTCTAGTGCTCTTCAGTTTCTAACGTTACCGTAATTGAAGTCGATGTGTGACGATTATTTCCGAGATGTTTTTTGACGCTGTCGTTTTTCACCTCTCTCCTGTACTGTTATTCGTTTTTAAAATTATGAGACTTTTATTGACATAAACATTTTATATGGTTCTTGTTCGAAAATAATCTATCTTCAAGTTTTTTTTCGATTAAGTCAGACAATCGAATACAATTTACAGCAAATTCTACGGGTACTCTAATGTCGCTTAACTCAAATCGATCGCCTCAATACTATATGACATTGTTTAATAACCGGTTGCTGACTATTGTGAATTTTTATTTAAATTTGATTTTTGTCATGGGTTAACATCAACCGAAGAACCATTAAGATCCAAAGATTGCACTGGAAATTTATTTCTCGGGTACGTCAGTAACCAACTTATACTTAAATTTCCGAAGTTCTAATGAATATTCTTGATTTATGGATTTTAGGTGTTGGAAATAAAACAAATACCCACCAACACTATTTAATGACGTTGTGCTATAAAGTCGACTAGTGAAAGTGAGAAATGTGATCTTTTGTATTTCAACTCATCAGTTTAAGTGCAACACGCCCGTTGATAGCCCTAAGGGTCCTGGCTTTGATCAGTGATAAGATCATGGATGCGTATTGATGAGATGTCTCGAATTAGGAAGTAGTGTAGTGAATGAAAACTCAGCTACAGTAAACCAATTTATTGTTTTACGCAAAATGACGTGGTTTCGTGAAATATGAAAATCATACAATAAGTACATCATTGACATATCTTCCTTGAGTTTTTAATTACAAATTTCATCATTCTCCTAATCCTGTACTTATTTCAATTACTCTCTTATCGTTTATTTTCTCTTATTTTAATCTTCTTCTGGTAGTCGTTCCACTTCTAATTCCCGCTACTTACGTCTGTCATCATAAGTAGCACGCACTACGGTGATAGTATTCGATTAGCAGTCACAATATGGCCACTTTGCTTACAATACATTAGCTATATTCAAACCACCTATACAACGTCACTGAATTGTATTGTTGCTGATATTATTCCGTTTGTATACAAATAGGATACGCTATAGTGCATTGAGTATTAATGATGTTTCAACTACAGCATATCTAACTGATAAATCTTGCATAATACAAACTAATCATTAGCAAAAGTTTATAAACTACTATCTCGTAGTAAGATTCTAATCACTAGTTTAAGTTTCTATGTGTATGCTGACATTCTATATGAAGTGTTTACTATTAGCTTTAGCCAAAAATTAATATACACAATTGACTAATGGATACTGTACAATAGATGAAGAAATTGACAACAGTCCACAATATCGGTCTATACAAGTTTTATGAGGCTTTATTTTTGTTTTAATACTTCAAGTGTTAAATAATGTGAGTTCACATTTCACAAGTGGGCTAAAATGTAGGTGCACTCAATGGGTAACTATTATATTACACAAATCATACAGCATAGATGGATCCCACTATATCATTCTATAACATTGGTATGTACTGACTGGTCACTTATGTATTTTGAAATCTACCGTGTTATTCCCTTGATTTTGTGAAATACTTACTCAATCAATGTTATCTAATTATTCAAACATATTAGATAATGTTGAAATAGTAAATTCTTAAACCTTCGATAATGTATTACCCTTACCCTTTAATACCTATTTTATTCAACTCCTAATGAATTTGATGGTGTTAATCTGATCATCTGATTAGTTGTCTTATTAAGTCACATTTTCTGTTGTGTAATTTCACTGTCCACTACAAACATGAAGCTTTTAATTTAGCTGATTTTTTAAATTGATTTAAATTTTCCTCGGTTAATGTTGCTTCATAGGCTGACTCCAGCTAGTAAACTGTTGAAAACCAGTAAGTACTAGGTGGTTTCCTAGAGAACGTATCAACTATAAACACCTACTACATCACAAGAAATATAAAACAAAAGACCTTCAGGTTTTATAGTGAGTTCGTTAACTTTAAACCACTTGATCAGAACTCCAAGTTCCTGAATTCTATTCCTGATGGAATCGTAAGGGCGTACTTCTCAGTTGCCTCAAACAAGAAGGCAAAATCAATTTTTTTACTCAATTTCTGTTTAGTCATTCATCATCTAACATCACTGTGCAACAAACATGATCTCAATATTTTCGTTCACAATTTTATAAGTTGAATTTTTCAAACATTTTCTGTTATAAAATATGTTGAGACACTGAATTTAGATTTGGTTCATGTTAACGTTAATAACTTTAAGATCATCTCGATCAATGAAAAAGAATGGAATGTTAATGCACTAAGATTACCGCTTTGATAATATGCACACTGATATGAATTCCCAAACCTCAAGTGAAATAATTTCAGGGGACAGGATCATTGGGCGACGAATCATTAATAAAGTATTGTTGTGAATTTTTACTGGCCTATTGATCTGATTCTAATTAGAACCAACAAGTGAATGTATCATAAAAAATAAATCTTCGGTTTAATTCTGTATATTACACTTAGACTAACCCCGTTTGTGCAACAAAATACACAGTGATCACATTTAACTGCAAATAAAAAAAATTGTGTACACATATATCATAATAATCGAAAATGACAATTTTGAATGATTAGTCATGTGACAAGTGTAGCCACGTATTCTGTTTCCGTCAATACATTGAACCCTGTTTTTCTGAAAAAAATTCATTATTATGTAGTCAGATCTCAAACAACTGTTTCACGTGTCGTTTATTCGCACCGGCAACAATTACACATACACACATATATTCGTGTTAAAAGTCCCTCTCACTTATAGTACTGAATTTCAAATCGTAGAAAATCACACATTAATGATACATACCAATTTTAAGGTCAACATGAAATAGTTTATCATTATTATTATTATCGTTCTTTCAAACTTTTCACACTATAAGTGAATGTGTGGTTGAAGTCAATAAAATACACTTCATATTGTAAACATTTTTTATTATGGTAGATCGTTTGTTTCTATGACTATGTTGGTGGAATTGTTAATAATTCTATGACCTTGAACCAATAAACAAATGAACATATTGTAATCAATCATTAATCAAGCAAATATTTTAGAAATTTTTAGCGATTTCTGAAATTCTACTGATCATTCATTGCTTTCTCTTGACTATTATTATTCGTTAGTTTGATATATGTATTTAAATTATAAAATATTGATAAAGGTGGATGATGGGTAACAGTAGAATCTAAAATTCATTTTTCATTGTATCTGAGACTCGTCGGCTTGATGTACGTGCTTCCCAGTGTTGTGGTTCATATTGAGACTTTATTCAAGTACCATTTGCCTCACACTGATAACATCTGAAATGAGAAACTGGTTATCTGGAATCAAAAGCTAGCCTACTGGATAAGATGTTGGACGTTTGAAGCGAAATGTGTTGTATTCGAGTCTCAGTGTGAATGTCAACAATGGGATTCAGATACATACAGCTGACGAGTTCCAAATAGGATAAAACGCGTGTCCTAAATTCTATTACGATACATTATCCAGCTGTACTTAAAGACATATGATTTAATGGCAATATCTAGACGATCCACTCATGATTCACATGTCGAAAGAGACCAATCAATTGCAGTCCCTTACATCAGTAATGAGAATATTCAAACCCTTAAAAATAAAACCTATAACATTGTCCGAATAACAATAATATTTTGAGTTAGCGTGAATTAGTGTTCGTTCTCTTTCTCCTCTTATTTATTCTTTATTCGATCCTCGAAATAAGATCTATCAATTATTGTCTGCCGAAATTGTTGACCCTCTTCAAGTCACAATATCTCATTAGAACTTCAAGAAACCTAACTGTAAGCTAATTAGTAGTGAGAACATGATTATTGTTTTTACTAAAGTGATTATATGAATATCTTGTTTTATGCGTCTACTAGAGTTCAAACTTTACATAAATAAACTAATACTGAATGGTCTAAAGTTATCATTGTACTTACTGCAAAACTCCATGTGTCATGTCTTATGGAAACGCTTTATTATAGAAGCCTTAAATTAAGATAAAATTATTTTTTAATGTTGAAAGTTGTTGAAAGTACTTGACAGAAAACCCTTGACTTAAGTTTCGTAGTAGTTGGCACATACATAACAATACATACTTACAATCTTGAAGTGAATGATGTTTTCTTCAACCGCTTAACGTTTCAACCTAGTTTAAACCAAAGATTAGCTAAATATATCATCGTTCATCATTTAGTGATCAATCAGTTGTAGACTTTTCAGTTTTCCCTTATATTTCCAATGATTTTTTAAAAACTTGTAATAGAGCTTGCTATCAGAATGGTATAACTTGACTAGATACATAATCGCTGTAGAATATCACCATATTGGAACTTATTGTCAATATTATTAGTATTATTGAGTTTTAGTGATTGGTTAAAATTGTTTATTGTTTCTTCTTTATTCTAACCTTGAAATTTATACTTACTTTTATAAATAATAAACTATCAGAAGTTACTGAGGCTCATATTTATTCATTTACTGTTCTTTTCTTTATAATATAACTCGGTATGTGTGCATACGAGTATGTTTACATATTTGTGGGCAGGTTTGTTTACTCACTTGAT